TGGTTAAGTATTTGGACTGATCAAAGCACATCAAAGACGGATAGTCCCGGTTTCTACATTTTCGTATATGTTCTTCTCGGATTCGGTCAGGTTTGTATCTGATAAAGACTAATGAAATTTGCAATACGTGACACAAAGTTAATGTTTATTATGGTCCTTGATTTAGGTTGCTGTGACGTTTACCAACTCATTTTGGCTGCTCACATCAAGTTTACATGCGGCCAAAAGACTCCATGACGCGATGCTGAACTCTATCCTGAGAGCTCCCATGCTCTTTTTCGACACAAACCCAACCGGGCGTGTAATAAACAGGTTTTCTAAGGATATTGGTGATATAGACAGAACCGTCGCCAACCTAATCAATATGTTCATGAACCAGCTGTGGCAACTCCTCTCGACGTTTGCTCTGATAGGTACTGTCAGTACAATTTCATTGTGGGCAATAATGCCGCTCCTGATACTGTTTTATGCAGCATATCTCTACTATCAGGTAATTATCTAGGTTGATTACATGCAAACTTGTGTTACACTTTATGATCCACTTGGAACTAATATTACTTCTGTGGTTTGTAGAACACATCCCGTGAAGTAAGACGTTTGCATTCCGTTACAAGATCACCTATTTATGCTCAATTCGGAGAAGCGTTGAATGGTTTGTCAAGCATCAGAGCCTATAAAGCCTATGAGCGGATGGCTAAGATTAATGGAAAATCCGTGGACAACAACACAAGGTTCACTCTTGCAAATACTAGCTCAAATCGTTGGCTCACTATAAGATTGGAGACTCTTGGGGGTGTCATGATTTGGTTAACTGCAACTTTTGCGGTTCTTCGAAACGGGAATGCAGAGAACCCAGCTAGTTTTGCATCTACGATGGGTCTCCTACTTAGTTACACTCTGAATATCACTACTCTGTTGAGTGGTGTTCTAAGGCAAGCTAGCAAAGCAGAGAACAGCTTGAATTCTGTGGAGCGTGTTGGTAACTACATTGATCTTCCTTCTGAGGCTTTAGATATAATCGAGAACAGTCGTCCAGTGCCTGGATGGCCTTCAAGAGGATCAATCAAGTTTGAAGACGTTCACCTGCGTTATAGGCCCGGGCTTCCTACTGTATTGCATGGACTGTCCTTTTGTGTTTCCCCCAGTGAGAAAGTAGGAGTGGTGGGAAGAACTGGGGCAGGGAAGTCTTCCATGCTGAATGCATTGTTTCGGATTGTGGAAGTGGAAAAGGGAAGAATCATGATTGATGATTGTGATGTGTCTAAGTTCGGACTGAAAGATTTACGCAGGGTCCTGAGTATCATACCACAATCTCCAGTGCTTTTCTCAGGTGCGTGTGTACTTTAAGACAACGTTAAAAGTATGTTCTTGCATTCTGATAGTCACTTCTTCTTGTCAGGGACGGTGAGATTCAATATCGATCCATTTTGCGAGCACAGTGATGCTGACCTCTGGGAGGCTCTACAAAGGGCGCATATGAAAGATGTTATCGCTAGAAATCCGTCTGGCCTAGATACAGAGGTATAGTAATAATTCTTTGTCTTTGTTATGGAGATCATTGATCAAACAGTCACTCACTTTGAATCTGTGAAGGTCTCCGAGGGAGGTGAGAATTTCAGCGTGGGGCAAAGACAACTGCTGAGTCTAGTGCGTGCGTTGTTAAGAAGGTCTAAGATCCTTGTTCTGGATGAAGCAACTGCATCTGTTGATATCAGGACAGATACTCTGATACAGAGGACCATCCGTGAGGAATTCAAGTCTTGCACAATGCTTGTTATTGCTCACAGATTGAATACCATCATCGACTGTGACAAGATCCTTGTGCTCAGTTCTGGTCAGGTAATGTCAGGATTATTTACTTAGATCCTTTTAGTCTTGAGCACAGGAATGGAAAAGAGGATTCTGATACAGCTTGGCAACATCCTTGTGTGACTTACATACAACTATGTCAATTTTTCTTAGGCTTTGGAGTATGATAGTCCGCAAGAACTGCTATCAAGAGATACAACTGCATTCTTTGGGATGGTTCACAGCACAGGATCAGCAAATGCTCAGCACCTTAGCGACTTGGTCTTTGAAGGGAGAGTGAACGGAATGAGACAAGAAGGATAAGTGAAGTTGCAATTGTCACTTTACACGATGATGGAGTTTGCATCATTACCATTTTAGTAGAGTCCCAATTGAAGGTGAACCTAAAAATATGAAGCCATGACCACTAGGCAATACGCGTTACAGCACTCATATGTCAATATGATATTCTTGTGTTTCTTGTAATACACGGAACAAATTGTCGATTTAGCACTATGATATGCTACGCTCATTTGGGAAAGAGAATGTGTTTGGTTACTGAGAATGTGATATCCACCATTGGAATTCAAGTTTCTAGTTTTTATTTGTTTGATTCATCTCCATACACACAAAAAGCCAAAAATCAAAATAATTTGATTGGGTTTGAGTCGCACGTAAGCCATGACGATGAAACATTGTTTTTTGTTTTCAATATTTTTAAATGCTAAATAAAACAAACAACAAAGTCCAATTATACATTCATTTTTTTATTCAAATAAAATAAAAATCAATACAACAAAAACACAAATGTCTCTTCTGGTGTAGACACATCAGCATTTTGGAGCTTTCTGAAGATGACACTTCAGCAAAAAAATTCACCAATCAAATTAAAACATTAATACACATCACCTATTTCATTTATCATCTATTTCATTTATAATAGCCCAAAAGATAAAATATACAAGCCCATCTATAAACCTAATTAAACCAACACTAATCAAAATATTTTATTAATACACATCATCTACTAACTTTTATTATTTTTAACTTAAACCTGTTAAAAACCGAAATATTTTTCTTTGTTAATCATTGTTTTATTTTTGCCAAACTCAAACCTAAAATAAATAACAGCAAATAAAAAAATGTTATATTTTTTACCATCACCAAGTCCAAATAATAAAAAACAACAAATAAAAAATTTAAATCTTTGTTTTATTTTTTTGCCAAATAATAAATAACAGCAAAAAAAATTAAAATTTCTAACTATGTGTTTACTTAATAGAGACGTATATGATTGAAGAAAGTGTAGAGTCATCATTAATTATGCTTCCATAACAACAACGCAAAAAGTGTTATGTTATAAGAAGTTCACACATCAGAAAAAATTAAACCAATAAAAACATAACAATAATACATATCATTAACATACTAATAAAATCGGTTTAATATTTTGCTCACCCATTAAAAAGCCCAAAGTTTACAAAAAAATGGAAGTCGAAAGTAAATGAGGAGAAGCTCATACCACCACAGTTTGGAGATTCGCATTTTCGGTAGTTACCGAGAATAAATTTTCTTGGGTTTGGCGGGAATAGAGAATTTTTTGGTTTCGGTAGAAAAATGTGATTTTCAGTTTTGGTAGGAAAATATAATTTAACGGTTATGGCAGAAAAAATGAAATTTTGGGTTTGACGGAAAAATGTGAATTTTTGGTTTTGGTGAGAAATTTTTTTTTTGCTTTTGACGCGAAAACAACATATCTTAGTTTTAGCAAGAAAATGCGAGGAATATGCAATTTTTCAATTTTGACGAAAAATACGATTTCTCGGTTTTGATAGGTAATGCAAATTTTTGGCTTTAAATAGATAATGTGATTTCTTGATTTTCGCGAGAAAATGTGATTTCTTAGTTTTCGCGGGAAATTGTAGTTTGACAATCTTGGCGGAAAATGCAATTTTTTGGTTTGATGGGAAAACAAAATTTCTCGATTTTGGCGGGGATAAACAATATCTCAGTTTTGATGGGGAATGCAAATTTTCAATACATATAAAGAGATTTTTTGGTTTTCGCGGGAAAATGCGATTTATTAGTTTTCACGAGAAACGCAATTACTCAAGAGATAATGCATTTTTTTGATTTTCGTGGGAAATTTTAGTTTATCGATTTTGGTATGAAGGCGAGATTCTTGGTTTGACGAGAAAAATATTTTTTTTTGTTTTGGCAGAAATAGACGATTTTCGGTTTTTGTGGAAAAATATTTTTTTCGGTTTTGACGGGAAAATACGATTTTGTTGGTTTTTTACAGGAAAATGGATTTTTTTGGTTTTGGTGAAAAAAATTTGATTTCTCTGTTTTGGCGGGAAAATACAGGTTCTCGCAGGAAGATGTGATTGTTTTGTTTTTCCAGGAAAATGCAATTTCTTTGTTTTTGTAGGAAAATGAAAATTTAGGTTTAACGAGAAAATGATTTTTTTTTTGGTTTTGCGGGAATAAGCGATTTCTTAGTTTTGTGAGAAAATGAATTTTTTTTTGTTTTGTCAGAAAATACAATTTCTCGGTTTTTGTAAAAAAATAAAAAAAATTTGTGCTAAATTTTCAAATTACAATATGTTTATAATAACCAAAATTAAATTATTTAACTTCAACTAAATTGATATTTCAACAGTTCAAACAGAATTTTCAATTTAGTTCTAAAGTAATAGCAATGATTTTGATATGAATGTTATTGATTATAGTTTGATAGTTTTAGAAACATATGTTTATAATAAATATTTGATAATTGAGTAAAATTTATAATTTAAAATAATCATATTAATTAATATTTTTTTAAATAGCAATTTGCTTTATATAATTTCAAAAGAGGATCAAGTGGCAATTTAGTAAGAAGATAAATTACATATGCCATTAGCATGAAAGTACTTAAAAATGTATTGTTTTATTTTTACAATACATTTATAGATAATTAATTAAACAAATTTGATGGTAGATTATAATTTAGAAAAATAAAAAAAATTAAGGATATATAATGTTTATTCAGATTAAAAACATATAAATACATAACTTAAACTAATAAAAAATAAATATAATACTCATTTACATTATAAAAATAATTTTATTATATTAAAAATATATACAAAATCTAGAAAAATATTCCGCAGCGTAGCGTGAATAAATACTTAGTGATATCTAATTTCTCTTCTTATAAATAATTTTGTGAATCGTTGCCAATAAATAATTATTTAAATTATTTGATTGATAATCTCTTGTCGTCTAAATTCGTCAAAGCCGAATTGCCCCATTTCTGACAAACGTCAATGGTAATTTACATAAACAATGGTTAAAGATAACGTCACGTGTATACATACATATGTGGAGATCGGAACTCGCGATTCTTATCAAAGAGAATCTTTCATCCTTTTGTTTTGAGATTGATTATGATTTGTGAACCCAACAGTGACTGCTTCGACTTCGACGTTCTGCTTCAGTGCTTTGCCGAGTTGGATTCTACCCAAAAGTCTCCTTTTTATACAACTATTTATGCAGTTAGGCGTTACTTAGATTATTGGGAAAGCTCCAATTTTGGGTTGTCTTTTTGGAACAATCACGAAGCAAAAGGGTAATGCTTTTCTTCTTCCCTCAAATCATCATCTCTCTCCTCGGAACACTATTTCAAAAGGTTTATGCTACTGCTGCTAATGAACTTTAGTAAAGGTTTTAGCTTTTGGAACCTTAATACTCTTTCCTTAGTTGAGTGGACTATCAAAAGTCTGCTCCTTTGTAATCTCTGATTTCCGCTGATTAGTGTTACCTTTGGTTAGGGGATTGGATTTGGGCATGTAAACTGTTGTGTTGCATAGCCTTTTTAATAGTATTAAGCAAATGCCTTTTGTTTTTTCCAGTTTGGGTATTCAAGAAGATGGGTTTTGAGGCATTGACTTGGTATTGCAAGCCAGTTGCAGAAGGATTTTGGGAAAAGGAAGTGGATGGCGCTTTTGGCGCCTACACGCCTTGCGCGATTGACTCATTAGTGATGCTCGTTTCTCACTTTGTGCTTCTGGGTTTGTGTTTCTACCGGATATGGATCATCTTCCACAATACCAAAGCACAGATATATGTTCTGAGGAAGAAGTACTATAACTGTGTGCTTGGGATTATGGCTTGTTACTGTGTTGTTGAGCCTGTACTGAGATTGGTCATGGGGATTTCACTCTTTGACATGGACGGAGAGACTGAACTTCCTCCCTTTGAGGTGATTTCAAAATGTGACTCTGATTCTTAATCGTATCGTCGTATGGAGATTAAACTCATATGCCCTTCTTCTTTAAATGAAAGTCCAAGATCGGAAATGAAGTATGATTCTGGTGTTATAACATGGCAGGTGGCATCTTTAATTGTTGAGGCATTTGCTTGGTTATCCATGCTTGCTTTGATTGGGCTTGAAACCAAACAATATGTCAAAGAGTTCCGATGGTACGTGAGATTTGGTGTTGTTTATGTTTTGGTTGCTGATGCTGTGCTGCTGGACCTTGTGTTGCCTCTCAACAACTCCATCAACAGGTTAGAACAAAAAATTTGTAACAAGGAACTCAATTTGTTGATTCAACATGTAAATTTCAATAGTTATTTCTTTTAATCTCACAAACTTTTGAAGTTGGGAAAAAGTTTGTCCTGAATGTCATAATAAGTTTTTCTCTGTTTGCTATTGCAGAACTGCCCTACATCTCTGTATCAGTTCAAGATGCTCCCAGGTTTGTTAAAATAGGGTCCTGATGTATAAGCTTGCAATTCATATTTCTGAAAACTTTGTAAAAAATTCTGTAGAGTGAAAGACATAAGCTTGGTTTTAAATAGCTAGCTTTTAGAGGAAACTGGCCGTAAGGTGAGATGTAATCAGATGCTTGGCCTCACTATTTAATTATTTGTTTTCTGTTGCAGGCTCTTTTTGGAATTCTTCTTCTTGTTTACATCCCGGAACTGGATCCTTATCCAGGTTACCATATTCTAAACAACGAACCATTAGACAACGTTGAATATGATGCACTTCGCGGGGGAGAGAACATATGTCCCGAGCGACATGCAAGCATATTTTCCAGTAGGTAGCAACGTTGAATTGATAAACGGAGGTTTTTTAATGTTCAGTGTATTGGCAAAAGATACATGTTTGGCAGTACTTTATGGTTTCTTTGATTTTGATTATATTAGCTTCATGGTTGCTTTGATTTTGATTTCTTGTCTTAGGGATATACTTTGGCTGGATCACGCCGCTTATGCAGTTAGGCTACAGAAAACCCATAACTGAAAAGGATGTGTGGCAACTAGACAAATGGGACCAAACAGAAACTCTGATCAGAAGGTACAGAAACGTTGCTGCTTTGCTTCTGATTTCTGTTATTGTCTCGCTTTTTTTAATTAATGGTAGAAGGTTTTGTTTAGAATCAAGAACACTTCTTATTCATTGGATGAATTATCTGACAGATTCCAAAGATCCTGGACAGAAGAATCACAGAGACGAAAGCCGTGGCTTCTCCGAGCACTGAATAGTAGCCTTGGTGGAAGGTAAAGGCTGATGAATTTCCTAAAACCATTGATTACACTGTAGTTTACTTTTAAGCGACACATTTATAGATATAGGCATTAAGCTTCTTGTGTACTATCTTTGTAGGTTCTGGTTGGGTGGTATTTTTAAGGTAAAGATCTGGTTTAATATCAGTGCTTTTCAATGATGGTTGCTTTGACTGTTATTATCCCTGCATCAGGTCTGACATGCATCCACAATAATGTTCAGTTCTGTATTTGACAACTCTCAAGAAATTTATACATCATGTTTTAGCGTGTTGTAGATTGGAAATGATCTTTCTCAATTTGTTGGACCGGTTATACTGAGCCATCTATTGCGGGTAAGCTTTGTTTCTGCTTAGTCCTTACTAAAACAATATTGCATAGTTGTTTCTGGCCCGTGCTTTTACATGATCCTTTTTGAGGTGTTACATGTATATTTTAAATTTGAGAAAACAACGCAGTTACATATATTTTTCATACGGAAGTGATGAGCTCTATTTAATAGGCTGCTTGGCTCAGCAGATATCTTACATTTTGCATTTGATAAATGACTGATAATTAATGAACATTTTGCTGCCTCTTTATGAGGGATCTCTCTGGCCTTATACTTAGATAATATTTAGCCCATGTGTTTCTTTGGCTTACTGAATCTAACCTCAACAATTTTTTGATCATTTTACCTAGTCAATGCAAGAAGGTGATCCAGCCTGGGTTGGCTATGTGTATGCTTTCTTGATTTTCGTTGGAGTGGTATGTATCCAGGCTAAAAGTCGTGTCTGATCTCTATATACTACTGGCTCAACTGTCGTGTTGTTTTTCTTGTTGTAACCTCTGAAAAGCTATTCCGTTTCTATTTTGTTTCAGACACTTGGAGTGCTCTGTGAAGCTCAGTACTATCAGAATGTTTGGCGTGTGGGATTTCGGTTGAGATCAACTTTGGTATAATTTTTGAAACTTCCATCCCTCTCCTATTTTTATGATCATTTTAGTCATATTTAATATCTAAGTAGTTATCCTATTTTCCTTGTAGGTTGCAGCTATATTCCACAAATCTTTAAGACTAACTCATGAAGCTCGCAAAAATTTTGCATCTGGGAAGGTCACAAACATGATAACTACAGATGCTAATGCGCTACAGGTAAACTTAGGTTCTTTTAATAGTCCCATCTTCTTTCTCAGTTTGATCCATACTCTACTTTTGCACAACTATGTATTTGTAACATTGTCTCCTGAATATTTCAGCAAATATCACAACAGCTCCATGGCTTATGGTCAGCTCCTTTTCGAATCATTGTGTCTATGGTTCTTCTCTACCAACAACTAGGAGTTGCTTCGCTTTTCGGTTCATTGATTCTGTTTCTCCTAATTCCTCTCCAGGTATTTAACTTCACTATGTTCTTTAATTTTGCCTATTTTTGAATTGTACTAGTTGTGGTAATTGCATATATTAACAGACAAGTCCACCTATTCTTTTTCTTAATAAACAGACTCTAATTATAAGCAAAATGCGGAAACTTACTAAAGAAGGACTCCAGTGGACTGACAAAAGAGTTGGTATCATGAATGAGATTTTGGCATCCATGGATACTGTAAAGTATGATTGATATTCCTAATTACTTTGTTTGTACCGTTTCTGAATGGCACATTCTTGAGTTTTGTTATTCTACTATTTCTTTAATTTGTCCATCTTTGTTAGATGCTATGCATGGGAGAAGAGCTTTGAGTCCCGGATTCAAGGAATTAGAAACGAAGAGCTCTCATGGTTTCGCAAAGCACAGTTACTATCGGCTGTACGGACCCTCTTATTTGATTTTGTATTGCCTGTAGTTAACAGGTTTTAGTTTAAACTCATTCTTCCCTTTTACGTTTTCCTCTTGCAGTTTAACAGTTTTATACTGAACAGCATCCCGGTAGTTGTGACTGTGGTTTCATTTGGGGTTTTCGTTCTGCTTGGAGGAGATTTGACACCAGCAAGGGCATTCACATCTCTTTCTCTTTTCGCAGTTTTAAGATTTCCTCTCAACATGTTACCAAATCTACTAAGTCAGGTTATTTTAACAATCATACTCAGTAGTTTATATTCCTCAGTTATATTTGTCTTACATAATTTATACTGTCTGCATTCAATCCATTATGTGCCTGGTCTGCATTCGAATAGCAGTTTTTAGATTAACTGGCCTGCATGTGGCAATGGATATACTCAATATTTTTAGTAATATTCTATTTGCTTCTTCTTTACTTAGGTTGTCAACGCAAATGTTTCACTGCAACGCATTGAGGAACTACTTCTAAGTGAAGAGAGAATTCTAGCACAAAACCCACCTCTTCAACCAGGAGCTCCGGCCATTTCAATTAAGAATGGATTTTTTTCATGGGATTCAAAGGTGAAACCTCAGAATATTTCTTCGTGTTTAGGTTATGTTGAGATGCAATATTAGCTTCTACGATCCACCATAAATAATTTTCTGAAAGGTTCATGGTGTTTACCTTAAATCTTTCCCAGACAACCAAGCCCACATTATCCAATATCAATTTGGAGATACCGGTTGGAAGCTTGGTTGCTGTTGTGGGTGGAACCGGAGAAGGTAAGACATCACTTGTTTCGGCAATGTTGGGAGAGTTATCTCATGATGAAACCTCAAGCGTTGTTATTAGAGGCTCCGTAGCTTATGTTCCTCAGGTTTCATGGATCTTCAATGCCACTGTGAGTCACCTTTACTTCTCGTTGGCTCTGGAAGCAAAGCTTCCAGATCGTCTTCGTTTTCATTTGGTCGATTAGTTAGGAAGGCAGTGTACCAATACAAGTGTCTATGCATTGTAGGTGCGTGATAACATTTTATTCGGGTCGGATTTTGAAGCGGACAGATATTGGAAGGCTATTGATTCGACCGCCTTACAGCACGATCTTGATTTGCTTCCGGTTGGTGGAGTGAAAGGCTTACACAACCTTTGAGTGCTTGATATGAAATTTCTAGTAACTTTCTGAATTTCGCTTATTCAGGGGCGTGATCTTACAGAGATTGGAGAACGTGGGGTGAACATTAGTGGAGGGCAGAAGCAGAGAGTTTCAATGGCTAGGGCAGTCTACTCAAATTCAGATGTTTACATATTCGATGATCCTTTGAGTGCTTTAGATGCTCATGTTGCTCAGCAGGTACTGATTCTTAAGGTTGATCCAATACATTACTGATCATCTCTTAGGGGTGACATAAATCAATGTCATATCGATAACTCTTAAGGCTGACATAAATAGTATCGATAATTAATGATAACTCTCAATTGAAGGTACATCTATTAACAGACTTCTTTGAACCAAGTAACAGGTCTTTGATAGCTGCATGAAAGATGAGCTGAAGGGGAAAACGAGGGTGCTTGTCACAAATCAGCTACATTTTCTTCCTTTGATGGATAAAATAATTTTAGTCTCCGAGGGAATGATCAAAGAGGAGGGAACCTTTGAAGACTTGTCAAAAAATGGGAGTTTGTTCCAGAAACTAATGGAGAATGCTGGGAAAATGGATGCAACCCAAGCGATGAATAAAAATGACAGGAAGATCTCCAAGCCGAGTCCTACTCTCACTGCTGATGTGAGTGAAAGAAATTTTGGCAGTACCAAGCAAGGAAAACGAGGAAGATCAGTGCTTGTAAAGCAAGAAGAACGGGAAACTGGCATCATTAGTTGGAATGTTTTGATGAGGTACTTAGCTCAACATCTTTCCACATTTAGAAACTGATCAACACATGATGAACAGTGTTCCTTGTTTTAATACTGCTCCATTTTCAGGTATAAAAAGGCAGTAGGAGGCTTATGGGTGGTTATGATTCTCTTTGCATGCTATTTAACAACGGAAGTTCTCCGAGTTTCAAGTAGCACATGGTTAAGCTTTTGGACCGACCAAAGCACGTCAAAGAATTATAGTCCTGGGTTCTACATTATCGTGTACGCTCTTCTCGGATTCGGTCAGGTTTGTTTCTGATAAACGAATTCATCATACTGTCATATTAGATGAAGTTAACGTTTTATTATGGTCCTTCATTTAGGTTGCTGTGACGTTTACCAACTCTTTTTGGCTGATCACATCAAGTTTGCATGCCGCTAAAAGACTCCATGACGCAATGCTGAATTCTATTATGCGAGCTCCTATGCTCTTCTTCCACACAAACCCAACTGGGCGTGTAATAAACAGGTTTTCTAAGGATATCGGTGATATAGACAGAAATGTCGCCAACCTGATGAATATGTTCATGAACCAGCTGTGGCAACTCCTCTCGACGTTTGCTCTTATAGGTACTGTGAGTACTATTTCACTGTGGGCAATAATGCCACTCCTTATACTGTTTTATGCAGCATACCTCTACTATCAGGTAATTTTTCTACTTCATGTCGATGTGCTCTTGTCTTTGATATTTCAATGCATCACGTACATACAGAATTGTTGGTAAACTTGTTATCCACTTGGAATTAATATCCCTTTTGTAACTTGTAGAGCACATCCCGTGAAGTTAAACGTTTGGATTCCGTTACAAGATCACCTATCTATGCTCAATTTGGAGAAGCACTGAATGGTTTGTCAAGCATCCGAGCCTATAAAGCCTATGAGCGGATGGCCAAGATTAATGGAAAATCCATGGACAACAACATAAGGTTCACTCTTGCAAATACTAGCTCAAATCGTTGGCTCACTATAAGACTGGAGACTCTTGGGGGTGTCATGATTTGGTTAACTGCAACCTTTGCGGTTTTGCGAAACGGGAATGCAGAGAACCCAGCTAGTTTTGCATCTACGATGGGTCTCCTTCTTAGTTACACTCTGAATATCACTACTCTGCTAAGTGGTGTTCTAAGGCAAGCTAGCAGAGCAGAGAACAGCTTGAATTCTGTTGAACGTGTCGGTAACTACATTGATCTTCCTTCCGAGGCTTCAGATGTAATCGAGAACAACCGTCCAGTGCCTGGATGGCCTTCAAGAGGATCAATCAAGTTTGAAGACGTTCACTTGCGTTACAGACCCGGGCTTCCTCCAGTACTGCATGGACTGTCCTTTTTTGTCTCTCCAAGTGAGAAAGTAGGAGTGGTGGGAAGAACTGGGGCAGGGAAGTCTTCCATGCTTAATGCATTGTTTCGGATTGTGGAAGTGGAAAAGGGAAGAATCATGATTGATGATTGTGATGTGGCGAAGTTCGGACTGACGGATTTGCGCAGGGTCCTGAGTATCATACCACAATCACCAGTTCTTTTCTCAGGTCCGTGTGTAATTTAAGGCGAAATTGTAAGAATGTTACTCCTGCATTCTATTGTTCATTGTGAGAAACATTTCTTCTTGTTAGGGACGGTGAGATTCAATATTGACCCATTTAGTGAGCACAATGATGCTGACCTCTGGGAGGCTTTACAAAGAGCGCATATAAAAGATGTCATCACCAGGAATCCTTTTGGCCTAGATGCAGAGGTGTAGTAGTTTATCATAAAAGACAGTATCTTTTGGTAATCAGAGTTGTTAGTTATAAGCATTATTTGTTTTGATATGAGTGAGATTATTGACTTTCACTCACTTTGAGTCTGTGAAGGTCTCTGAGGGAGGTGAGAATTTCAGCGTAGGGCAAAGGCAACTTCTGAGTCTAGCGCGTGCGTTGCTAAGAAGATCTAAGATCCTTGTTCTGGATGAAGCAACTGCATCTGTTGATGTCAGAACAGATTCTCTGATACAGAAGACCATCCGTGAGGAATTTAAGTCTTGCACAATGCTTGTCATCGCTCACAGATTGAATACCATCATCGATTGTGACAAGATCCTCGTGCTTAGTTCTGGTCAGGTAATGCCAGGATTATTGTTCATGAAACTGACTTATGTACAGAGTAGCAACATCATTGTTTGACTTACAAATAAAACTATGTCAAATTTCTTAGGTTTTGGAGTATGATAGTCCACAAGAACTGCTATCAAGAGATACAAGTGCCTTCTTTAGGATGGTTCACAGCACCGGACCAGCAAATGCTCAGTACCTCTGTAACTTGGTCTCTGAAAGGATAGGAAATGGAATGAGACTAGGTGGATAGAAATGGTTAGCAAGAAGAACGATAATGGCTGTTGCTATTGTCCCTTTGCATGATGATGTAAATTGCATCATTGCCATTTACCAGAGTCCCTAAGTTACAAGGTGATAGTCTTATGCTTAACAGCTGAAGGTAAACCTAAAAAACAGCATCCATAACCAATACTCTTGTCTTGTGTCAGTTGTGTGCATATATGATCGTGACAGATGCTGATTCTTTTAAAATGTTCCGTTGCTCTTTAGGACTTTGCTACATTGGTGAGTTTAGAAGGCAGAAGACTGGGACATGGAAGAAAACTTTTACAAGCATATGATTACTTTTCCCCGGTTTTGGGGTAATGAGTTTTAAACAGTATATATCATCTATATAAGAGATTCTTGTAAAGTATCAATTACCAAGTGTTTATTACAAAGACTTTACAAAATTTATGATCTGAAACAATGTATACAAGTTAGCCGAGTATTTTTGGTAATATATAAATTAAATAAACTTTAAAAGCAGACAAACCAACAATCCGTTGTAGTCTAGCTGGTTAGGATACTCGGCTCTCACCCGAGAGACCCGGGTTCGAGTCCCGGCAACGGAGATTTTTTAATTTTTACGGGTCACGTGCTAAAATTATCTCATTATTAGTTTTTTGGCTCCTCGCTTAGCCCAAATTAAAGTTTTGACGTAAAAAGCGTGACGTTTGCGAAAGCCGAGGCGTGTGGTGAGTCTGTTTCCCATGTGGCTTAAGGGACTTTCACGCCTTTGTCTAAAAGGCAAGCAAACTTATGCGACATCTATTAATGATTTTGTTCGGACTTGTAATGTATACTAGTATTATTTCTAATTATATTCTTTTTTAGCCTTTTGTTTGTAGAATGCGAGGTCGTTTATCATCATGAAATTCACTTTTACATTCATACTAGAGTGAACACGTAGTACCTTCGCATATACACAATTAGACGTACGTTCAAATGAAAACCCCGATTAAACTTATTTTTATGGTAGACCCGGCTTTTCTATAATGTAAATAAATATATGCAAATTATTAGTAAATTAGTTATGTGGCATACATTGTTCATTTTATTGACAAAAAAAATTGAACTAAGAAAAATGGGGTTGACTTATGTGTGTGGGGGTGAGAGTGTACAGCGACAAAGGTAGAACATAAACGCATGTAAAAAAGCAAAGGAGCTTTTTGTGTGGACAAGGGAAAATAAATAAATTTTAAAATAGAGCATAAAAGAAAATTCAAGATCTCAAGAATCCTAAGAAGTAAGAGCATGTCCATTGGAGTATTTAGAAGGGTTTTAAGATGGGTTTTTAAGTTTAAAATGATTAAAAAAAATGATTTAAGTGTTATTTTTATTAGAAACATCGCTTATTCAAAGTATTTCAGAAATGCTTAGATATTCATACGTGTCAATTTCTAATTGCACGTATTTATATACAAAAAAAATTAACCAAAGAAAGAGAAAATTGATGCCACATTCTCTCTTCTCCGATCAACGATTCTCTCTTCTCCGATCCACGATTCGGGTGAAATCTGAAAATCCAAACAAGGAAACAGCAGAATCCTGACTCTGATCATCATTATCTCACGTCGTTCTCCTTCTTCAAACCATCAGAAATCGATGACGCCATCGATTCTGTCGTCGATCCTCTTTAGAGACTTTGCGAAGGACAGCATTCGCCTCGTTAAGCATTGTCACAAACCAGATCGCAAAGGTATAGTTACCTCAGTCTTCTTATCCCATGGATTATAAATGGATTTAGCCTTTGATTTCCCTTTTTCAGTTTGGAATTGGCGTGTTTAGATAGTTTTGCATGAGCCATCTATATGTTTGCGTCGTCTGATCTCCTGTCGCTTTTTTCCTTTTTTTTTGCGGATGAGAAGATCTCCTGTCTTTGGCTTCTATGTGTTTGAATGCACTAACTGATCTTTAGGAATATCTTGAATCTTCATAGCAATGAAATGATTGTTTTGGATAACTTCGAGTGATACCCATAGGTTTTTAGCTGGCACTAGAGAGACATAAAGCTACGATATTTCTGAAAGTTTTTGTGGTTTGATGAATGTGCTGCTTGCTAAAATTGTTTATCCCTTTTTGGGATTTAGTCATTTGTCTGAGGTAATATATCAATTCTACATCTTGCATCTTGATTCTAATGCAGTTGACATACCTATATATTGCTGTTAACTTTTGTATATTTGATCTGTGAAAAAATCTCATTAGCATCTTTTTAGCCTAGAAACTTGTCTTTTTGCAACTTGCGATTGCATAAAAACAGAATTTTAATGTTTTCTTCACCTGTGCAGTGTTGTAAACAACAGTTTTACAATCTGGAAGAATACTAATAGAACAGTTTTTCAGGTTCCCTGTCTGTCGTAGAAAGCATTAGTGAGTGTGAGTGATGTCTTGTTGGTTGCAGATTCCAGGAAAACCAAGTATATCTTACATATGGCTGAGCTTTTTCTTTGACATGTAAGCAATTTTTTTCTTCTGAGTTTTTTAACTTTTGATCTGAGACATTTTCTTTGAACCTCTGTTTTGCTTTACAATGTAAACACAGCCTATGTTCCCTGGAGAGACTCGTGTTGATCAATTGGTGGAGATCATTAAGGTAAAAAAAACATATTAGCTCTTCTCTTCTCTTCTTTTTTCTTCTGTTTGAAATTCTCAGAGTTGTGTTCTGCTATTTATTTTTGTGAATTGGATTTTGGGGACACCAGCAAGAGAAGAGATAAAGACTCCTCTCGTTGTTATATAGAAATCGATTTTTGTTCTTTATTCCTAGTTCATGTTCTTTGGAATGAATATGTAGTTTTAGAGTTACTTTTGTTTCACTTGTTTAATTCTGGATGTGTTTCTTTTGTTTCACTTGTTTGATTCTTAGAGTTACTTTGTTTCAAATGAATATAAATTTTATAATATAATTTTTTTTTAAAACTCCATTAGAGATTCCACCAATGGAAGAGAAAAAAATTAAAATCAAACACAAGAATTCTTAAAAGAAAAAAGAAAAAAAAATAATATTAAAAAATGTTTAAAAACCTTATATAGATATGTACCGATGGAGATGGTCTAAGAACAACTGAACAAGGACACACATCCGAATCATTGAACACTGTTGCATGCGTATTTTCTTTTCGTATCTCCCTTTAACCCTTTCTTAATTATTTTTGTACATACACAACACAAGTACACCCATAATATATGCTTACGCAAATAAATCCACGAGCTTTGCTTCAAGTGAACTGCCCATCTACAAGTTCCACTAGCTTTTCTTCAAGTGAAAGTGTAAGTGCTACCCATAAGAGAATGACAGATGTCGTCGTGTCAGAGGCCGAGATATTCAGAGAAGTGATGACATTCATAATGAACCGCGAGAAGAAGTGTCCGCAGAAGGACCAAGACAGCCTCCTCAAAGTTTTTTTCAGAATACAAAAAAAAACAATTAAAGATTTCTTTTCTAGAAAAATGGATCTTAATCAAATGCCTATTTATTTAGAATATTAATTAATAAACAAAATTCTACTCCCTCCGTTCCATATTGTATGATGTTTTAAGTTTTTTATTTTGTTCCACAAAGATTGATTTTCTACATTATATTTAATATATTTCTGTTTTCAAGATAATTTTTTGGGTAAAAAAATATAAAAAATTAGTATTAAATTAATAAACAAACAAAAAGTACTTTAAAAAAATAAATAATTATTGTTTTCTTAATATCTGTGAAACATCTAAAACATCATACATTCTGGAACGGAGGGAGTATCTGTTTTCGTGGCGTGTCATGTAGGTGAAGAAAGTCCATGGAAACTTACCAAGGACAAGTGATGAAGACTATATACAAGAGCTAAATTGCCATGCACAGTAAAATTGTAAGTCAAAATGAAGGCAAGAATAAAGCAACGTTGACATGCACAGCGACACAACAAGCAGAGATTAAACAGACATTCACCAAGTGGGAACAAGTCACAGTCCAATTCGTTGAGACTGCTATTCAGAGCGAATCTTTCTCCTTCTTCATCATCTTCTTTAGGAAATGTCACGGCAAATTGAAAATCAAAATCTTACCTACACTAATTCGCCACAAATAAGCAAAGAATATGATCTAGTAGCACTGAATATTAATTATAATCAGTAGCTAGTATGGCAGTATCTAGAAATCTTTTATTGTGGTTGTAATTTGTAAATAAAACAAAGATCGGTGTATACCAGTAATAGAAGATCTCTCGATCGGCCTATACGCAAATTGTATGTAAACGTACACATAGAATGCATGTTAACATGCAAAACTGAGTGACATCATTAATGACTGGACACACAACAAAACCGGAGCCACGGGTATAAAAAAAGCTGGACGAATTAAAAACTTTGAATACTTAACTCGCAAGAGTACAAATTTAAACTTGAGATAATCTTTGATTATTTTTTTTTATAAAAGTCGTTGGTTCAGTTTTAACTGGGAAGTTGAAAAATGCAAAACTTAAGCACAACGATAAAGACAACAAAGCCGGAGAGAAGTCAAGCTGGTTATGACCACGTCAGCATTGAACTAAAAAAAATCTTCGTCGGACAACGAAGCTTCAACCCACATGCAGTAGATAGATAGTACGGACAAAATCCCATTCCATCACTCATAATAGAGGAATATTTTTGTTAATAAAAATGTCTTTCCTGGCTTCGCCAAGTTCGCATTATTGCTTTCGGAATTTATGCATATATATATATATATGTGTGTTTTCTATAAGTATGTACATATATTATATAGATCATTGTTCTGTTTATAACTATATATGTAGAGCGTTATGTTTAATCAGTGGCATGACACTCCGACCGCAGATAATATAATTTGATTCTTATTTTTGCTCAGCAAGACAAATTCTCATTACTCAACTACACTAGTAATGTGCATTCATGTAATGTGCAAAAGCTTTTTAAAACCACTCATAATGTTACTACACGCTCCTTCGTGACTAGGACAAGTCCATGAGGTGATTCATCGAATATTATCGAGGTAGCGTCTTCTAAAAGTGTAAAACAAAATGAATTGAGGTATAGGTTTTTGATAGGAACTGATCACTATGGTTCACTGATTATAGGTTTTGCCTTTTGGCAACAAAACACAATAACTTGAATCAAAAGTTTAATGTGAGTTTGTGTGAAACTGTTAAAGAGTTGTGGTTATATAATCCACTGTATAAATTTTACAGTTTGATAAACACACATTCAGCTGATACGCACTAAAACATATCCAATTTATTAATAATGGTTATTACAAGCAAATACTTATTTCTAAAATAAAAATAGAATAATATCAGTAAGTCTTAAAGATTCATATACGAAAACACAAGTAAATTCTTGTTTATGGTCTCCATCAAAAAAGTTTTGGAAACGGAGAGTGAATACATTATAACCGCACTCGCACGCCAAAGATTAGTGGGAAGGATTGGATTCTTTGAGTAGAGATTAGGACAAAATTAAACCCCACATTTTGAGATATTAATTACACAACAAAGTGTTTTTGCTAATTTCGAGAATCAACACAATGAGTATGTTTGAAGATACAAAGGACCCCACATGCGTGCATGTGTTCATGAGAAAAAACTTACTCTCTCATAGTAATATTAATCACATAATCTCGAGATTTTAAAATGTCCAGCATCTATGAATTAAAAAAATATCTAAAATCTTTTAAAGCAACCAATACAGAAACTATTTACTCCAATTAACTCCTTTTTTCTTCTTTTCTTCCATTTAATTATTTTTTCCTTTTCTCCTCTTACAAGACCACAAGTTTGCCTTTTTATTATTAAAAAGAAAAAATATAATGTTGGCTATATGGTCCCCTTAAATGTATATTCTCGTATAAAGCTATACCAGAGAGCTGGTAACTTCTGCTTAGCTGTTCTTGTCTAGCTGGGTTTTTTGGGGTTCGGCTTCTTTCTTTTCTCTCTTTCATTATTTTGTTGGGAAAAAGGTTTGAATTTGGTGTTGCAGATAAGATTATCGGTTTCTTTTAAGTGGGTTTGTTCAAGTGGATCTATTACACATCGACGTGGTTATTTGGGGGTTTAGGTTTAATTTCTGGAAGATTATTGTGAGCTGCGGAGTTTCTGTTACTGAATGTGGAGAAAGGAGGCAGCTTAAGTGTTTGTTAAAATGCCTGAGTGAAATTGATCTGTTCTAAGTAAGTTATCGATCTGGGTAGCAAGGGATGGATCCAAAGTCTCTTTCTTTCTGAGAAATTAGCAGTTTTCTTGTTTGCTTGCTGTACGTTAGGGTTCTGATTTAGGATTTTGGAAGCTCAAATATCGTAGTTTCTTTGGTGAGTTTGTTGAATTCTGGCAAGAGAAAGTATGGCTTGCATGAAGCTTGGATCCAAATCTGATGCTTTCCAGAGACAAGGCCAGGCTTGGTATGTTCACTTGAATCTCTTTAAATATTGTATTTTTTTCTTTGTTCCAAGTTTCTTTCCTGTAGACTTCGTCTGAATTTTGAAGTCCATGGTCTTTAAGGCAATATCAAGTATTACTTATTCCTTAGTCTGAATTTATCTTTCCTCGGTTTTGGTAATTGCAGGTTTTGCACAACTGGACTTCCAAGTGATATCGTCGTTGAAGTTGGAGAGATGTCTTTCCATCTCCACAAGGTAAATTTGATTAACTCGAACAAGACAACACTCTCTTTTTTTCCGTTTTACAGTGTTATAATATTGCCTTTGTCAAGTATAATTATTGTCAAACCCTTCTCCAGCATTGTAGAAATATCTACTGACTGCTATTCATCAGAAATGTGTTTGGTTTTTTATTTTCCTGTTCCTACACTATGTCATACTATTAGTCATGTATGGATCAAAAGATTCTGTTGATGAAACTTTTTGGTTTTTAGCTCTTTATAATCTTTTTATGACTAATCACTAATGCAACTGTGCTGGATGTTATTCACCCTTACTTATTTGCTAAACATTTTTTGGATCTAACAATGAGAATTCTGGTACTTATAACCAGAGATGTATTTGGTTTGTCTTTTGCAGTTTCTTACACTTTTTTTTTTTGCTATATGCAGTTTCCTCTGCTCTCTAGAAGTGGAGTCATGGAAAGAATAATTGCAGAGGCATCAAAAGAAGAGGATGATAAATGTCTCATTCAGATTTCTGATCTTCCTGGTGGAGACAAAACGTTTGAACTAGTCGCCAAATTCTGCTACGGCGTGAAGCTCGAGCTCACTGCTTCCAACGTTGTGTATCTCAGATGCGCTGCTGAGCATCTCGAAATGACGGAGGAGTACGGGGAAGCGAATCTTATCTCTCAGACGGAAACATTTTTCAACCATGTTGTCCTCAAAAGCTGGAAAGATTCGATAAAGGCGCTTCAAAGCTGCGACGAGGTCCTCGAGTATGCTGATGCATTGAACATTACCAAGAAATGCATCGAGTCGCTAGCCATGAGAGCATCGACGGACCCGAACTTGTTCGGATGGCCAGTTGTAGAGCATGGTGGGCCTATGCAGAGTCCAGGTGGCAGCGTTTTGTGGAACGGGATAAGCACCGGTGCTAGACCCAAACATACTAGCTCAGACTGGTGGTACGAGGATGCGTCTATGCTTAGTTTCCCTCTTTTCAAGAGACTTATCACAACCATGGATTCACGAGGCATAAGAGAAGACATCATCGCCGGTTCGCTAACTTATTACACGAGAAAATACTTGCCTGGCTTGAAAAGGCGACGCGGTGGACCTGAATCTAGTGGTCGTTTCAGCACACCTTTGAGCTCCGGGAACGTACTGTCAGAGGAAGAGCAGAAGAACTTGCTTGAAGAGATCCAGGAGCTTCTCCGTATGCAAAAAGGCTTAGTCCCGACCAAGTTTTTCGTCGACATGCTACGGATCGCCAAGATTCTCAAAGCTAATCCTGCTTGTATAGCGAGCTTGGAGAAGAGGATAGGGATGCAGCTTGACCAGGCGGCGTTGGAAGATATTGTAATGCCTAGCTTCTCTCATACAATGGAGACTCTATACGACGTCGACTCTGTGCAAAGGATCTTGGACCATTTTCTTGGGATGGATCAGATTATGCCCGTTGGGACTGGCTCACCGTGTTCTTCCGTTGACGACGGGAATTTGATCGGATCTCCACAGTCGATAACACCAATGACGGCTGTTGCAAAGCTGATCGATGGTTATCTTGCTGAAGTCGCTCCTGATGTCAATCTCAAGCTCCCAAAGTTCCAAGCTTTAGCTGCTTCTGTTCCTGAATATGCAAGACTCTTAGATGATGGACTCTACCGCGCAATAGACATTTACCTAAAGGTAAGAGACTAAAGAAGAAAACCCACCAATCTTGTAAATTATGTGGTTGGTTTCTTTTTTACACAGACACATTAAGTTGTTTCTTTTGATGGTTCTTGCAGCATCATCCGTGGTTAGCGGAAACAGAAAGAGAGAATCTTTGCAGGCTGTTAGATTGCCAGAAGCTGTCTCTAGAAGCTTGCACACACGCAGCGCAGAACGAGAGGTTACCTCTAAGAATAATCGTCCAGGTTCTCTTCTTTGAGCAGCTTCAGCTCAGAACCTCTGTTGCTGGATGCTTCCTTGTTTCAGACAACCTCGACGGCGGATCAAGACAGCTAAGAAGCGGAGGCTTTGCAGGAGGATCAACCGAAGGAGGAGGAGGTGGATGGGCAACCGCAGTAAGAGAGAACCAAGTTCTGAAAGTTGGAATGGATAGTATGAGAATGCGGGTTTGCGAGTTGGAGAAAGAATGTTCCAATATGAGACAGGAGATTGAGAAACTCGGCAAGACGACAAAAGGCGGTGGGTCTGGAGGTAGCGGCGGGAGCAAAACGTGGTTCGGAATTAAGCTTAAGTCGCATCAAATGTGCAGTGCTCAAGAAGGATCTGTGTCAAAGTCTAACAACGAGAATGTGAAGCTAGAGAAGCTCAAGGATGTCAAAGAACGTCGTGGGAAGCATAAGAAAGCTTCGAGCATTAGTTCCCAACGGTGAAGAAATGATAATATTTCCACGGTTTAATGTCAAAAGAAGAGCTTCCACTGTTGTGCATTGTAGTGCTCTCTCCTCGTGTTTTTTCAATTGTCTAATGTAATCTTTGACGACCAGCTATTTTTTTGTCATTATAATTTTCAAAGATGTCGTCGTCTTCACTCTCCACACAAGAGAGATGAATCTTCTTCTTTAATTGCCAATCTCGACATGACAATACCTTCTGTGAGCTTGGATAGCGTCTCCACGTATCCTTCTGTGTTCTGTACATGGCTTTCTCAGTTGTTACTATAATGTTCGGTTCAGAAAGGAAGAGCATAACTGCAAAAATGTCAAAAATGTTCGTTTCGAAAAGTGAAAATGGTAAATTTCCATGGTTAGAAATTGGAAACACAGATGACAAAAACTTTAAGAAAGGAGATGAAAACGATGAAATTTTCTTTAATTCCATGGTTTGAAAACGTGTTTTTCTTCTTCTCGTTCAGGAACATTTTTGTTTTCTTATTGAGGAAGCTTATTAATCAAATTTTTTTCCTGAAAATTCTTTTTGGGGGGGTTTCATGCACGATAAGTTAATAAAGCCTTTAATTAATGACAATGTATAATTAGTTTGCTTAAACTGGTTTATCAAAAAGATTACTTTGCTTAAATTAATTTATTGGTAAATTAAATCTTGAAGACTTTAACTTGACCATGACTAATTAATGCTTAAGGAATTGAAGGACATTTCAGCCGCCAGCTTGACCCAATTAAAAAGCCCAAATTAGAATTTTAAATTTCCTACTTCTTTTTCTATTTCATTTTATTAATTTCCTTCGTTTATAATATTTTTCTCTGAAAATCTGAATTTGTCTCCTTAATATATTTTTCCTCTAAAATACTCTTTTTCTTACGTTAATTCGTCGAGTCTCGATCTCAGTTCTCGTCAGATTTTCAGACTCTCCGATCTCTGATTCCGACGAGATATCCCTCTCATTGTTGAAAGGAGGAGCACGGGATCTGCTCAGATTCGGCGGGGGAAATGGATAGCCGCGACATTGAAGAAGCTGGCGGTAATGGCGAAGAGGAATTCCCGCGTCTCGGCGGAGGAAAATACAGGCCGGTGGTGGCGCACGATAGGGCGGTTGTCGAAATGTCTTCCATCGATCCTGGATCTTCCTCCTCTTCCAACCTCAAGTAATTTCTAATTGGCTCCCTTCCTTGTTTTATAAAATTCGGCAGTGATTTTGGGAACTCCATTTTTCGTGTGGTGTAGCCCAATTTTTTCTGTGTAGTGATCGCGATTCTAAAGTACTTTTAAGGAAGTGGACATTTTCGCTGATGATTATCTACTCATCAGTAGAAATGGATGCAATTTGGTTCGTTGCTACGAGTTTCGGCTAGCATGTTGTTTATATTTTTCTGTTCCTAGTTCCCGAATTCGTTTCTTATAGCTCTGAATTTCTGCTTTAAGATTCCTCGACAATTTGATGTCGAAAGTGACGTTCGCTTAATAAGATTCACAGTACAATTTTGTTTATTTTTGTTTTGTTTTACATTTGCTTCAGTCACCAGTTTTTGGTTGCTTTCTTACTGCTCGTAAAGGTATTCTAGTGTTAAGAATCGTGGGCTTTGAATATTCCATACTCTAGCTTGGAAAGAAATGCTGAATGTTTCAGTCTTTTCGATCATTTTTTTTGTCATGAGTGCCTCACACTTGGTAGTTTTTTGACAGGAACATAAAAGTAGTTGCACCAGGAGAGATGGGCGCTGGTGCAAGGGAGGGTCCAAGACCAGAAGATGGAGTCAATGGCCATCAGAAGGAATCCAAGCTGGAACTATTTGGTTTCGATTCTCTTGTGAACATTCTTGGTTTGAAGAGGTACATGCGATCTTAATTGTTATTTACATGTAGAAATGTACGTTAGAAATATGAATCACCCTTCATCCACTGCATTAAGTGATAGATAGAAATTACCGGAATGGTCTCTTGCTTTGGTTGATCAGCCTGGTCTATTTGGTTTGAACTGAATCAATGGAGACATAGGATAGAAGTTTCCTGCTTGATTGAACCTTTTTTGTTGTTTCCTCATGATTCTATAATAACATTGATATGCGTTCTATCGCTTTGTGTAGTTATTGGTGATTCTTAACTAGTATTTGTGTCTTTTTACTTCTTTCTATATATTAAACAGTAAGAAACTCTCTTTCATCCTCCTAATGTGTAAATGCATATTGTACCTTAAACTATGCTTTACACTTAAAATCAATCAGCAGTTGTGTTTTTCATTGAAAGTTGATGTTTTTCCATGGTCGATTTTTTCTTGCACAGAATAGTCATTTGTTTTGGGAAACACGTATTTTCTTAATTTGACATGTGGTAATGTGATGAATATCTCCTTCAGTATGACAGGGGAGCAAATTCAGGCACCATCTAGCCCTAGAGATGGGGAGGATATCACCATCACGCAAGGGCACCCAAAGGTATCTTCCTGTTCCCATTAGCTTCTCTCTGCTTTGTATATCATACAATTGATGATCTACTGTTCCGATCCAGCGCTTCTCTATGTTTTTTCTTAAAAAAATTACTCTCAAATCACATCAAGCTTATTAGTTAAGAGAGTTATATGGGAGATTTCAGGGAACGATACAATTCTAAGCTTAAGATGGGCAAACATTTTCTGTACTGAAGTACAAGCTGTTAGATTGCAAAGATGGCCTTCCTTTATCTGATTGTTTTGCTGCTTTCTGTTTGGCAATCATTGTTTCAGGATGATCAGATGGTTTTACTTCGTCTGAAAATTTCTTTCATTGTTCTGTTGTTGACTCTTGTCTATATGGTGCATGCAAAATTAAGGTTTCTTAGTATTCTCTAGTCTGGCGAATTTTTTTCATTATTTTCTGCTAGGAACTTTTTGACATAGGCATCATCTGTCGCTGCATTTGTGGCATTCCATGATGTTATTTTATCTGCATGTTGTTGCAGCCTGCTCTCAAGATGGGTACAATGATGGGAGTTTTCGTTCCCTGCTTGCAAAACATATTAGGAATTATATACTATATCCGTTTCACATGGTAAGACTGCAAAGTCCTTGATGTTGCACAACAGACTGCAAAGTCATCATGGCCTGTCTTAATCTGTTCAATTTTCAGGATTGTTGGCATGGCTGGTATCGGACAAGGCCTAGTATTGGTACTGCTCTGTGGAATATGTACATTCTTGACGACAATATCTTTGAGTGCTATTGCAACAAATGGGGCAATGAAGGTAATTCTTCTTTTCCTGTTATACCACCCGGCTTTTCTTTGAATAAATATGTGTAACCATAGCTAAAGATATCTTCCCGTTCGTTGGGTCTCTGGTCCATAATTACTTTTCTCTTTCTTTTGTGATTCAACATCAGGTTTATTTTGTAATTAAATTTTGCATTACTTCCAGGGTGGAGGACCATATTACCTCATTGGTCGTGCTCTTGGTCCGGAGGTTGGGATCAGCATAGGTTTATGCTTCTTCCTTGGCAATGCAGTTGCTGGAGCTCTGTAAGTTACTAAGTTCAAATTCTGGATATTTTGAAGGAAACTCTCTTGGAGAAAGCTTTAACCGCAACTCTCATTCCTTTAAGTTTCTAGTGCTCTTTTCAGTTTCACATGGTCTCCAAGTGCTTCTAATAACTTCTTTATCTGCTTTCGTCCTTATCACTGTAGGTACGTTTTGGGTGCTGTGGAGACTTTTCTAAAAGCGTTCCCTGCTGCTGGTATTTTTAGAGGTATTACTGTGGAACTTGTAAGAATTGAAATCTATGAACTAAAGCAAAGGGCTACTAGGAGATCTAACAACTATTAGTAATTTGTCAGTTTTTTATCACCACTTTATCATGCAATTCTTGACGTTAAAGACTAGTTTCATCAATTGTTGGAAGTGGCAAAGCGTATATGCAATCCAGGATTTGCAAGATCTATATTATCGAATTTAAGAGTTTTATTTAACAAAACGTTTACTTGTTTTCCGCGAGGACATAATAGCCTATAAGTCGCATTTAGTCATTTAGCTGTGTTTCGGTTCTAATGGCAGAAACTATCACAAAGGTCAACGGAACAGCAGTTGCCGAGTCAATACAAAGCCCAAACTCACATGACTTGCAGATTTATGGAATTGTTGTGACCATCCTTCTATGCTTCATTGTGTTTGGCGGCGTGAAGATGATTAATCGGGTTGCACCTGCTTTCCTAGTACCCGTTTTGCTCTCCATCTTCTGCATATTCATCGGAATATTTTTGTCCAAGACAGATGATCCTGACAGTAAGTGGTTTCTGGATATTGTTGGAAATAGGCAATGGAGTATTTTTTTTTGTCTCCCTGAATTGTTAACCTTCACTTTGTTCCCTTGTTGTGATCTGAACAGCTGGAATTACGGGACTGCGTTTAAAAAGTTTTAAAGATAACTGGAGTTCGGCTTATCAGATGACAAATAATGCGGGAATTCCTGATCCAACTGGAGGCACATACTGGAGTTTCAAGTGAGTCACTCTTCCAGATATTGTGTTGCCTGTGATTAGTAAAACTCTAGTTTTGGTTTTAAGCAGTTTTTACTGTAAAATTTATTTACCCTTCTCTTTGTTTATTTTCAGTGAGTTGGTGGGTCTATTTTTCCCTGCTGTAACAGGAATTATGGCTGGCTCAAATCGATCAGCTTCACTGAAAGACACACAAAGATCAATTCCTGTAGGAACATTGGCTGCCACTCTGACTACCACCTCACTGTATTTGATCTCTGTGTTGTTTTTTGGAGCTGTTGCGACCCGTAACAAACTTTTGACTGATAGGTAACGGTGTTACTCCTCTTCTGGCTTCATCTTTTGTTTCACAGCTGATCTAATGTGTTTTCTTAGGTATTGCAAAAACCTACTTATCACTTGCACATTCTTGTCTTTAGCATGGATAACCTTGAAAGAAACTAAACAATGGATTCATGTTCTGAAAATATACTACACAAAACTACTAGGGGCCTACAAAAGCTGTA